ATTCCTTTTTTAGCTATTTAAAGGTAAAATACTTGGGAAATGTAAATGTTGAGTTTATATTGTTTTGTCTGGGATGAAGTGGACCAACATGGTAAGTAGTCAGCAGTGGCCTTAAAGGTTGTGTGGGGTGTTGAAAGGTCAGCTCACCCTAATGAGCACTTTCCTCTAGTCCTGTCTAGCGCAGTAGTTCCCAACCTTTTTTTTTTTTTTTTTTTAAAAGATTCTAATTCCATAAGAAAGATTTATTTTTTTTATTTTTTAAAAAGGGTAAAAGTTAAAGCAGCAAAGATGTTCTGATCTCGAGTTCCGAGTATGAGTCAAGCTTCTCCCTTCCTGGTAATAAATAACCGTGTCTTTCAAGCTTAAAACACAGGCTTTCTGTCCAAAATATGAAGCCTAATTCGATTATTTGAGCTCCCTCCAGCGCCACAGAAGACAATACACAGCTGTTTTAAAAGGCTGAGTGGTCCTCGTGATGAACATCTGATTTAATGTGTAAAATCATGGGAGTGCCCCTTTTTGAAATGAAGTCTACTTGTGAACAAAAAGGTGAACGTGGGGAGAAATTAAACACGATTTTGTGTAACAAATGTTGTTTTTCTATTTTGACCCTTTTAATCCTCTCCTGATCCCTCATATACTTCATGGAAACCTGACCTCTGGTTGTGAACCGCTGATCTAGCAGATACTTTTGATTTTAAGATGGAAACAAAAGAAAGAAACCTTGGGCACACAAAAACAAGACTACAGCTAGACACCACTAGAGATAAGAGAACAAATGTTTTTTAAGTTTGATTAGTGTTTGCAACCGCATGTACTTCATGAAGTGCAGGATCAGAAGTAAAGATTAGCTCTTAAAACCATTGTGGAAGGAAAATGGTTCTTCAAAGTTTAAATGTATTAAATCTGAGGTTAATGTGGTCTTGACAAAGTCATATGATACTCAATGTAAGTGTTTTTCTTCAAATGTTCTTGTTTTTGGATCAGGTGTATTTTTATTAAATGAATACAAGCTGTCCTATAAAGAATTATTGTCCAGAAAGTAACTTGATATTTGAATGAAAATGTGACTCAGATGTTTTGAACATGTGTTTTTTTTCTTCAATAAATGAACTACATTATTTTGCTGCCACTTCTTTTTCTTCAATCACTGATTCAAACTTGAGGTGAAATTCGCCATTTTGAAGCTCCATGGCCTTCAGGTGCTCAGTGTGAGCGAGCATTCAAGAACCAGTGCGCCACCTTGTGCCTTATGGTTGATATATACGGACCCCTTCAACAGATTCACGTTAGACCACTGCTCAGTGACAAAGGCAGGAAAAACCCCTGGTATGTTAGACTGTCTGATTAATTTATTGTTTACAGAAAAAAAAAATGCCATTTGTGTAAGATGAGATCTGGTCATCCCTGTTAACTGATCATAAAGTAAAAACATTGTTTAAAAAAAATCAACACTGCGGTGAATTAATTATGAAAATGATGAAGTAACACAATTATTTTCATTTATTAAATAACAATTTGATTTTTAGGGGTCGGGAACCCTATTGTTTTTGCTCGGATTTTTTTTTTTTTTTTTTTTTTTCGTGCATAAAACTCATACTGTGGCCTAGACGGTAACTATTAGGGACGCGTAACTCACAAGGTAGGTTCACAGCCTCAAGAGTACCTCAGGCGCCAAAATCCGCACACTGCTACCTCTAGGGGGCGCTATAAGCAAGGTCAACGCGTTTGGGCTTGGAACTTCCGCCTAAGAAGGGGTGTATCAAAAACCTTATATCCACGCGTTCGGGGGATCGAGCTGAATGTTGTGGTATAGGCCACGCCCGTTTCCGCCTAGACGTTTTTTTTCGCTACATTGCGAAAACTGAAAAACCTATTTTAATGAACTCCTCCGAAGCCGCAAGTCTGATCGACACCAAACTTGGCACGGATAATCTCTGGACCAAGCTGATGAAAGTTTGTAGAGGAAATTTTGATCCGACAAAAAATGTCGCACTTATATGCTAGCAAATGTTACGAAAAAGCTGCTAACGGGAAATTATGTCATATCTTCCCTTTGGAATGGCCGATCGACACCAAATTTGGATAGTTAATGTGGGACGCCCTCCTGAGGGCCTGTGTAACTCGCCCCTAGGGGGCGCTATTTAATCCAAGAAAATTGTTCCTCTATAACCACAAGTTCAGGCTGACATGAAACCAGTGCGGAATTCTTCAGCATGGTCCCCTTACTACAGGCACCAAACTTCACCCACGCCCATGCCCATAGGTGGCGCTGTTATTGCAGATTAAAGACGTAAAAAAAAAAATCCCATTGATTTACATGCATTTTATATCTCCATAACCTCAAGTCAGATTCACACCAAATTTCGATCAATTGTTCCCCATGGGGCCCTGATAACACCTGAAAAATTTGGTGGACCTCGGCCAAAAGGTGGCACTCTAATCGAACCCCAAAACCCATTCATTTCAATGGGATTTTCAACCAAAGGACATTTTGCAGGATAACTACGGCTCACTACATTGCACATTCATAAATCTTATGTCTACGTGTTTGGGGGATGCTGCCGATTCCGATGGTATAGGACCCGCCTGATGATGATTTCATTTAGCCAAATCGCGAAAACTGGAAAACCTATTTTAATTAACTCCTCCGAAGCCACAAGTCCGATCGACACGAAACTTGGCACGGACCATCTCTGGACCGAGCCGAAGAAAGTTTGTAGAGGGAATTTTGATCCGACAAAAAATGTCCCAATTACAAGCTAACAAATATTTGCGAAAACGCTAAAAACAGCAAGTATGACATATCTCTGGCATGGAAAGGCCGATCAACACAAAACTTCAGGACCTTATGTGGCATGCCCCCCTGAGGTTTGGTACAGTTAGCCCCTAGTTGGCGCTATTCAAAAAAATCCCATAGACTTACATGCATTTTAGATCTCCACAACCACAACTCCGATTGATACTAAATTTGGGGCAATTGTTCCTCATGGGGCCCTGATCACACATGACATGACATGACATGGTGCAGTTCGGCCAACAGGTGGCGCTAAAAGCGAAGCTCAAATCTCTCACTAAAGCCCATACATTCTTATAGCATTTTCACAGGCAGGAAGTTTTGCCTCTGTTTGGAATTGCCCATCAACACCAAATGTGGGGACCTTGTGCGACACAACGGCGGCGCGCCCTGACCGACTCACGCGCCCTCCACGGGGTCAAGGGGTGCGGCTTGCGCCGGGAGGCTTGGACCCTGCTTACAACTGCTTGCAGTTCTAGTTCTTTTTGTATTGAAATATTTCCTAATTTTGATTCAGTATTGTTTTACTTAATATCGGCCACTTTGGTAAACATCACATGACCTTTATGTTTTTAACTTCAGTAATTACCTACAACATAACTAGGTCATTAGATGCGTGTACTGGTGTGTAATGAGAAATGGAAACTTCCTCTGGTGGGCACTTGTGTATATTTCCAGGAACTAATAATGTGTTACAACTATCAGTGAGGGTAGATTTCCCTTCCAGGTCCACCATCTAATTTTGACAAAGCTTAATGAATGGCAAACGAACCTTTAGTTGAACGCTAAAAGTCATTAAATGCATTTCTAATGCGTGATAACGCCTGAGCTGCAGCTTCTCAAACATAAGCAGACTGATTGTGGTTTCCTGCTGGGCAAATAGATCTTCAGAACAATAGTTGTTCAGAGCTGGTTGTACATCACATTGGGCTGCGGCGATCTTTTGCCATGATAGTACATGATGTAGGACCCATAGAGCAAACCTCCTGTAGAGATAAACATCGCCTGCTACTTTTTGAGTCTAACTTTTAGCATGTGAGAACTAAGTGTCAGGTCTTCTGGTGCGTGTATAGATGAATGATGGACTTGGCATGGTTTGTGCTTTTGTAGGTTTGTGCCTCACCATGCGTAGTAAATCTTTTTTTTTTTTTTTTAGGGTGACTAAATTTAAGATTTACTATCTTGTTTCCGTTTCTTGTTCTGCATTCAAATTGTGTTACACCCCTGCAGTGGTCAATAACTTCCTGCGCCATTCACTTTTACATTGACAGCTTTTTCTCATGTCCCCTTTGTGGACTGGGTTAAAATGCCTGGAGCTCCAGTTAGAAATGTAGAAGATGTCCCCTAGTCTCAAGTGTCACAGAATAGGTTTCAAATCAAAAAAGTCAAGATGTAAGTCTTTTAAGTCTCTTATTGCTGAGCTTTGAAATGGCATCTACAAAACTAAGTAAGAGGGATAAAGTAGCATTTCTCAATTCCATTAAAAAAAAATTATGTATAAATACAGAAGTACAATGTAAACAAAAAACACATCAGTTGCTGTAATTATTCCTCATATTCAAACTGTGAAATGTTGAATAACCTTTAATATTTTTTATTTTAGTGCATAGGCCTAATATAAAGCAGTGAGGCTATACAAGACCTGCCTGATTGCGTTTATTTAATTGATGTATCAAGCCTAAAGTTCGTGTTTTTGTCATTTAAGTCAGACTGAAGTCTCAGGTGTGAAACTCTGTTTTTTGCATTCAGTCAGCAGGCCTATTTTTAGAGTTGACAGTCTGTCCACTGATGCATATTGGCATCAAAAAGCAGACGCGTCCTGTTCAGAGAAGAGCAGTCAGTATCATTTCCTCTGGGAAATACAGTCTGTGGAAAGTTTGTTTCAAGCATGTAAAAGACAATTAATGCAAATTAAAACATTGAACTTAAAAGAGAGAGGTCAGACTGCCTAAAACAACAACAACAAAAAAACGATCTTTAGGGCCCTTCATGCACATGTCATGGTGATTGTGCTGCTGATCCTTTATAGATGCTTCGTAATCTGACCAAACCCTCTCAGCTGTGTCTTACATTCTTCATTCATTTACTATCTTACCTAAGAAGGAGCAGATACAGCATTCATAGTGCTGGTTTGTGTGCGCTTCCTCTTGTTCTTGTCTTGAGGTTTTGAAGGTGGAGCTTCATGGAGTTCCTCTTGGTTTCATTTACAGTTACCCAAACGTTTGACATCCAGTTTTGAGTGCCTGCATCTATGCTGTCATGGTTTACATCACCGACTTCCCTCAGGAACTTCATTAGTGTCTTGTGATGGCATTCAAGATGACTGGGATCAAGTACCTGGCTTGTCTGTGGCTCATCACACAGACTGGATGTGGTGAGTGTCATGCTGTTGTTCAGGCTTGTCTGATCAGTTGCGCCCTTTTCAGTTTGAATTGTATTTAAGTTACTGCTGAAGATCAGTACGAGCATTTCTGAGGAAAGTCCATGGGAGTCAGTTTACTTAAACAGGGGGTGGACGAAACAACAGGACCACTTCACAATTCACAACACATAATGCACCACTGTGCAGTTTTTGGTTGTCAGATTAATTTCACTTTGATCATCTTTTAGGTCACATTTTATTTCAGCATAATGTTGGATTATAATCTAATATATATTGAATGATTACTTAGTAAATTACAGAATAGGATTTAAACATTTTTACATAGCCTACTGAAATCATAATATATTTATTGCCCTCTACTACGATTATTCGGTGCAAAATGTTTCTAAAATAGCAACTTTTATTTTGCAACTGAAACATATCTTTATGTAGATAATCCCTTTTATCAGCAGACTAAAAATCGATGCATTCTAACATTTATCTTCTTTTGTTTTTATCAAGTATGCAGTGACATTCAGTTCTTGGAGAGGCATGAGGGGGAGTCCGTTGTTCTTCCCTGCGCGGTTGAGCAGAGAAACCCGGCGCCCTTCAGTGTCTACCTGAAGCGCAGCTGGCTGAATCCCGGTGAAGTGCTGTTCATGTACACCAAAAAGGAGTTCAGTGTGGGTAATGATGACGACAAGAACCGCACCAGCGTCAGCGGAGACCCGAGCAGCCACTCTCTGAATGTGACCATCTCTCAGCTGAGGGTCAGTGACACAGACCGCTACTACTGTGAGTTTCTTGTGGAAAACCGTTTCTCTGAAGACGAACAGCTGCGTGGAAAGACTGAATTCTTCCTCCTTGTTGGTGCCGGTGAGTTGCAGTTTTCTTTCATTTCATCCCACACACTTTTTTCACTTGTTTGTCACTTCACAGGAGGTTAAACTTCCCAAAACTAACACCCACAAAATATCCGCACGTCCACTGGGGGCTGACATGTAGAGTGGGTTTGGTGTCGTTGTTTATTGTTAAATAGGGCAAACTATAAGAAGGGGATGTAAATAATAAAGAGCCAGAAGGAAAAGTGGTCGAACTGTAAATTAAAGGGATCCTCCTTTTGAATTAACTCACTAAAGTACATTATGCTGTGTAGGATACACAGCAAGAGTGATTTTTCACAATCCAAGTGTTCCCTTAATTAATGGTTCTTAACTAAAAGGTGTTATTATTTATCAATATTATTAAAAAAGATATTAATAAATCCTTGTAAACCCCATATAATTATGTTCTTTGTGGTGTGACTCTTCAACACAGCTCTAATCTTGAAATCCAAGCTGCTTGTCTTTCCTCATTTCACAACAAGTTCATCCTTTTTGCCCTGGATGAGTCACTCCGGTCAGGTTTTTCTTTTGCAATTATTGCCAGTTGTCAGAATTTGGAGCATGAACTGCCACATCTCGCCACACTGGTGGTTCCAGATATGAAAATACAACCCCACCCCTACCACCACACTTCACCACAATGAATTTTATTAAAATTGAGTTGCTCTTTCCCCGAATTCAACAATATATAATACAGAACACAGTAAATTTCAAATTTCAAAATAATGTACCTCAAATATATTTTTTTATACAGCACCCTAATTATACTTTCAAGGGCAGATGATTGTATGTAACTTTTACATAAAAATAATTTATGTTGTAGGACACACTGAAATTCCTGTATATAAAAAAAGTAGCCTATCTACTATTACTGCCTGTTGACTATACATATGTTTTGGCATTCAGTTAGTAATATCTGAGTACATTTACAGTACATGTGCTCAATAATGCTAATACCCTTATGGCTGCTAAATATTCTGACTATCCAGAGGAAAATGGATTTAGAGATTTGCTTAAAGTCCAAATGCATCTTGAAGGCAGCTGCTGTAGGCCTACTCCAAATGATGTCACTGTGTCTCCTAGCCCAAACATGCCACAGGTTATATTGTAAGTTTTATTCCCTCTCCCCTATGGAGACGCCCCTGGGACGGTGAACATAGGGTTGGTAGAGACGTGCGCTGGGGGCTCGGTCTTGCTCCCCTGTCTCCCCCCGCACGGGGAGGGCTTGGCCGTGGAGGGGGTGAGTCTGAAGCGGCAGAGGGACCGGGAACCTGTGGAGGTGTTGTACCACTCAAAGCGTCACCACAGCAGCCGCCATCAGTCCTCTTCCCAGTTCCCAGTTGAGAAGGTCCAGTTGTCCTCGGCGCCCGGCCCCGGCGGCATCACCTACAACCTCACCCTGCAGCAGCTGCAGCCAGACGACAGCGCCCTGTACAGCTGCCAGCTGCTTCAGCGGGGCAGGCCCGAGAGCGCCACCAGTCTAGGGAGACAAGTATTCTTTGTTTCTGTGCAAGGTGGGTCACGTCGCTGCAGGACTTGATCGCCAGGTTACTTACAACTAACCCCCCCCCCCCCTCCTTCTGACTTTTAAAAATTAAAATACCACTTCCTTTCATACTAATTCTGTTGTAGCACCTATGCGTTTCCTCCCCTATCAAATAACGTTCGTAAAGATTCCACTGATGTTCGTATTTGCCAAGTAAACTGTCTTGCAGTGTTGCTGTGTGTTTGTTTCTATAATCGTGATAATAATGATTTTAATTGAGTTTCAAGATCCTCATATGCAAAATGGCTTTCTATCACTTCTGTCAGTTTCCCAGTCGCAGTGTTTCTTTTTTTTCTTTGTATGTCTGTGGATGTGTGCACCACTGATAAAACTGCACAAAAATAGACATTAGGCCTAACGGATGTTAATATTTTGTTGTTGTTGTAAAAGGTGGCAGAGTAATGAAGACAAGTTGGTGCTGGATTCATATTAAAATATAATTATAGGCTTTAAAATAGTTTTGTTAGGCTAATACCAAATGCATGGTTTTATAATATGAAAGTGAAAAACTGGCATGTCAGGCAACGCCATAAACCATTCATTTACACAAAGAAAATCATTTTCTGGTGCTACTCTATACATATATTACAGTCAACAAATCGCACAAAAAGACCAAAAGCAATGAATTTATCTTACGAGTAAGTGTTTGATATGGTTTGTTCCTCTGTGCAACAGACCTCTATTGTGATCTAAAACTATTAAAAACACATGAATATGAGCCACACTGTTGCGCTGGGTGACGTGTTGCTTCATTACAATCAACATGGGCACTGTGGGGTTTTTTTTGAGGAAATCCCACAAACACGTATCCTTGCTGTAAATACTCACTAGTATACCAAATGTGTGGCAGCTAAAAATAGTCCCAGACAAATACAAAATTTAGGTAGGCCTACTTCTGTTTGAGTGAAAGTTGCAGAAAACTAGTGTCCCGTTGTTTTTTAAAGTTCATTTGCAGCAACTAGACTATCACCATTTCTGACTATAAAATATTCACATGTGTAATGGAAGTGGTTGACTCATAGATTATTTAATAAAAGAGATTATTGAAATTCTACGAAGTCCTGTGTTGGAGGTGTAAAATGTCATTGCCGTTGAGGCCATTTCCAACTTTCGCTGAGCAAACCAAACTATTGTCATCTCCTGATAATATCAGCCCGATCAGCCCTCAGATCAGTATGCCTATTCATGAACAGCTTTGAGTGTTAAGCTGTTGATCTTCCTGTTACACAGAAGCTTAGTTGTCTCACAATGACTGATTTCCCCTCAAAACAATAATATATTGTAACTGCAGCCTAGAACTAGGAAGGAAGTTTAGCTCAGTGGTTTATGCAATTCCACGTAACATTTCATATTTGAGCTGCCTTTTAACTACTTACTAGCATGCAATGCTTTTATTTTCAAGTTACAGTATTTTATTAATGCAAATTTAAGCATCAGAGACGAAAATGCAATGCGGCAAGGAAGCTGAATGGCATCACGTACTGAGTGTGACCCTACAGTGAAGTCAACCCTTTTATTGTCAACATTTATCTCTGCTTCTTCACAGGAGGTCGGTGTGGCTGCTCCAGCTACTCTACTCTGCTATATGCTTTGTCCTCAGCCGTGGCCGTTCTCTTCCTCCTGCTCCTCCTCGGATTTCTGGTGATTTATCGCGTGAGTGGACTCATGTGGCTTATACTCTGCTGCTCTGACACAAATAGGGGCGAGAATAAAAACTCATTGCAAGCAGCACCTGCCTGTTGAGAGCGTGTCAGATAGTTCCTCTGCAGCTCACCACAAAACCACACTAGTTTCACAAGTTGTTGCTGTCAGTGTGTTTTTCTGAACATTCAAGGGGGAGGGCAGTGAAACATGTTCTACTTTTTAGTTTAGGGTTAAAAAGTTGATGCTGACACTGAACTACACTGTTTTTGTTTCTTTCTCAAGTAACATTAAAACATGTCATTGTGAAAATTAGACTTGGTTAGGACTTCCTTTCACAGCTGCCGCCTAGAGAGAAAATGACAAACTCTGATTTTAACACAGGAAATCGAGAGTGCGTTAACTCTGTGCCCTTCACTGATTTGTTTTCCTCCTTTCTCGGTGAATGTCAGGGCAAAGCACGCCGCAGTGTCAAGTCACACCCTCAGGCCCCTATCTATGAGGAGATGACCGGAGTGAAGCCTCTCAGTCAAAAACTGGCCCCTTGCCATCTGGAGGAAATGGAGTGCTCTGAGTATGGAAACTGCCCTGCGAAGAAATCCTGTCCTCAAAACCATTATGAAAGCCCCAGTGGGGCCCTCTGCCCCAGGAGTGTGTCTCAGAAATGAAATATGAGACCTTCTCACCAACATCATGAACTAGACCAACTTAACAACTCAGCTGCCTGAAACTCACTGGACTCCAGTTAGCACCAGAAGTTTCTTCAACAGATTTTAACAGCAAAAAGTCTCCTAATACAGTTTCTTTTTATAATCTCATGTATATGAGTCTGTTGATAGTTTGAAAGAGTGTTTATACTGGGGCATTACCTTTCTTAATGTTGGCTGCCAATGGGGTGGATGACGTGTGAAAATCTCCCTTCACATTTATATCCCAATGTTGATATGTAATACATTTTCTGGAAAACAGAAAAGGTCCCCTGTGGAGTTTTTTAGCAAACATACATTATTTAGCCCACTGTCAGCGGAAGTGGTTTGGACCAAACAACAGAAACACTGGTCACAGTACAGTTCAACAGCACCGCAAACTACCTCCCCTAAAATGTCCATTAAGTTGAATCAACACCTCTCTAAAACAGTTTTCAACAAAAACTGAACATTATATCATTCATGAAGGCAGGATTAGAACTCAATTAGTTTTAGAAAGGTGTACCTAATAAATAGAAATAAAGTATACATTGTTTAAATCCATGCTTGCTAGCTGTCTTCTTTCTTGCATTTCATAGCACATTAATCCACTGATCGAAAGTTTGTGGCAGTAGTGTAAGGGGTGAGTTGTGCTCAAATAGAACTATTTCATACAGCATGTCAGAAAGCAAGTGTGTTTACAGTTGTTTTGAATAGCCTCACTCAAATGAGGGGTGAAAAGCGATATTGTTTTAATATGAGGATAATTGTGCACATTTTCAGACATTCACACTTGTTTGTAAAAGTGGTTCTTACGAAGTATACTGGCATCTTAAAAACAGTCATGACATTACATGGGCGACTTGTACACAAGATTACTAAGAAAAAGGGAAAAACTGCACTACTAGGGGCCATAAAACTCCACTGGGTACCTAGAAATATTTGACAAATCAAAGTACAATATCACATTGATGCTTAAATTATATATTTCCATAAAGCATATTTACTTATGGATTTGCAACATTGTCCACAGTGACCTAATACAACCAGCAATATGAAAGGGATAACAGATTTGTCACCTCACTGTATATACTATCATCCCTCCTTTAATATACTGTATGTTACTGTACTGTACTATTTTTTGCCTCGCTACTGTTCTTATATTTAGCATGCATTAAAATAATGAAAATGCTTTAAAATCATTGTATCATTGGTGAAGCAAACTAGGAGATTATTAAAAAAAGGGGACAAGACACCCAATAACAGCCAAGAAAATGTGTATTTTATTAATATAGTCCGAAACAAGCTCCATTATCCATGGAAACATTTCCGGCGCATGTCCTTAACAATCACATTCTATGAGGAGAAAAAAGAACAACATTAAAAGCCACAACTTTGTATTTCAGTTACAGACATTTTTCCTTAATGTTTTTTTTCCAAAGTAAAGAGAAAGGCAAAGGCAAAGTACCCCCATTCCCTCACCCACCCTCCTCCCCTTAAAAAAAAACAAACAAACAAAAAAACAGACAGCCTTAAAACTCGTGGGCTTTTTTTTTTCCTTCAGTACAACCCACAGTGCTTTAGAAGGATAAGCGCTCATTGGTTAAGAATTACACAGTATGGCGATGCAATGTAAAGTTTTGCTAAAACATTAGTTGACGCGGATAATAAGATGGGGTGGTGGAGGAAATTTGAGCAAGAGACAAAACAAGAACAACCCTACATCAAACCCTGAACCCCAGAGTCTGAGTCGACAAACGCCTGCAGTACAGCAGCTGGGTTTGGACTCGTCCCTCCCACTTGTGCATAGATCATGATCCTTAAAAACAAACAAAAAACAGCTTTATTCCTCCACTTCAATCTGCCTCTGAAAACCATCCGTTACAAGATAAGAAATCTCTCAATTATTGAATAACTGTTGCAGGAACAGACATGTTAACAGACAGGAGCGATGATTAAAGAAAAAAAAAGAAAACTTGCACGATGCTCCTGAACTACGGGATGGAAACTTAAAGAACAAAGTCAAAACATACAAATGTATTTTCTGTCACTGTCTTTTTGACAATCAAACCATTGATCATTGTTTAAATGTAAAGCAATTTCTACTTAGATTTCACACGTAAAGCACTCCACTTCAAAGTTGATTCTCAGTCTTTTTTGGTAAATATATAACTTGCTACGAACTGTTTTTGTTTCTCTATATTCCGTTAAACTCGTGACCTTCAGTGCTTGCTTGGAGTTTAATTGTTTTCAGTTGCTTTTTTCCTTTCTTTTCACACAAACATTAAACCTAGAAATGATGGAGTTAATATCTGGAACCCTGGCCTTCCTGAGACAAAATCCACATCTTTTTTGAGTGTGCAAGATAGTGAGCAAACGGCGTCGCTTTGAGGAAACACGAAATCAAAACTCAATACATACAGAGATAGTCGGTCGACACTGAAAGAGAAATTAAAAACTGAAATATGACACAACACTGATCAATCCCAGAGTTCTTAAAGTAGCATAAATCTTCATTTAGCAAGATTTCCATGTTTGATGGAAGATGAAATGTGTCCTTTTATTAATTTTTGTTTTTATAACATTCCTGTTACAAATTTCTTTCCTATTTCTTGAATGTCAGACAAATGACACTTGCTTGTAAACAACAGGTGGCTTTAGCAAAAAAAAAAAAAAGAAAAAGAAAAGATAGGCACCTCTGAAATGAGTCCTGTAACAAACTCACCTCCCACACTTTTTCCGTTTCTCCATGAAGTTAACATAGGGATTACTAGTCCTTCTACAGCTATCTATGGCCACAGTTCTTTGTTTTCCCCCCCTTTTTTTGTTTTGTGTTTTTTTTGTACTTTTTTCTTTTTTGAAATTTTTTTTTGAAATTTTTTGTATAACTGGAACAAAATGGTGCAATACTCACTGATAATCCTTGTATCGGATTATTCCACAATAAAAGCCACTATAAGGTAGATCAACTTTTTACAGATAGAATTTTAAAAAAAAATCCATTAAGTCCTTGAGTAAACATGTACACATGAATTGTCACCATCTCCCCTCCGTACTTAGACTCGCTTATCTACGATTAGCTGAGTGAGGGGTAGAAGACACTCAGTGCAACTTTAGAAGATAATAACAATGTCTATCAGAATAGTTTTTGACAGAAAAACAACAAAAAAGGATGATAAAAACAGACACAAAAAATAACATACTGAGTGGAACAGAACAGCAGGCCATGTGCACACATGGTACACACAGTTTGTTGCGCACACATTCATACAAACATCTGACTTTCAAGCACACCTCTAAGATGACTTTTGCATTTTTTTCAAAGATTTTGTATTTGTAACTTAGTACAATACATTTTTAATATTCTCTACAAGCCCCTAAGTGTACCTATCAGATGGAGAGAACAAAAAAAGAACTGACTTCACATTACGTTATTGGCGCTCCATAATTCAAGTATATTGTGTTCAATATTTTGTTTTGATATGTTTGTGATTTATTTTTTTTTTTTAATCAACTGGTTGGTTTGGGCTTTTAGACAAGCTAATTAACAAATACACATATGTACAGTACAAGCACTTCAAAGTACTGTAATATGTCATCAAAGCCAGAACGTGCATATCCAACTCCATGTAAGAAAGACTTAGCTTTCAGTCAATCAAGTATCTGTTTATACCCAACCCGAATTCGTTCCTTCGTATCGCTTATTTGCGGGGAAAATACATATTGCTCATTTTCAGTTGTATTAAACAAAGACCTTTCAAACAAAAATAAAATGTTTCAGAGGTTACGATCCAAGAAGTCTGAAGAGGTGATACCACACACACACCATATATATATATATATATATATATATATATATATATATACACACATATACATATACATATACATATACACACACACTGTTACCTAGAACAGAGCTGTAGAGAGGAGAGCCTCTCAATGCTGGTGCAGCATGGGAAACCCCCTTCACTGTCAGGGTTCTCCAGTTAGTACAGGATGCTGGGAGGTCCTCGGCTATTGGGTCTGTCTGAGCTTGGATCAAGGCAGTTACAGAAACAGGCAATAGTGATTTTTGCTTGTGTGCTGCAGGACTGCAAGTCCTGAAAGGTAGCCTTTTCCCGTTTTCTTGTTATTTTTTTTAATTTTTAAAACTTTTTTTAAAATGTTTTTAAGACTTTGTACCTCTTGAAATATGCCCCTCCCCTCCTGCTGATGCAGAGCGAGGAGAGTGAGGCTGATACAGTGGGCCCAAGCCATCTGGGTCTGTGGAAATGTACAGTTCAGTGGGCCCGCTTTGAGCAGGACACAAAACATAAAAACAAGATAAATACAGCATCCACAAAAAGGCACCCCGGCCACCAATCTACTCCTTTAGATGGTGGTAGTAGAGGCTGATGACCGGAGACGTTTCAGCTAGAAGTGCAGAGCTTTAACATATTATAGATCTTTTTTTTTTTCATTTAGATTTTTTAGCATTTTTAAGATTTTTGTGTCAAACTTCATAAAAATGACATTAAAATGTGATTTCATTTTTGGTTTTAAAAAAATATGTACCCGGGATTACCCATCAACTGTGCACTGTAGCAAACTGGAACCCCCAACTGGGTAAAGATTTTCTCCTTAGCATGGGGCATTCCCCACAAAAAACCCCAAAAAAACTCAGTCGTCTAAGGGTGTGATGATGCCGCCCATTTGTTTGATCCCTCCTGTCCCCCGCTGCACCCTCTGCAAAGGTTATCAAAGCTCCTCCGAACAGGGAACAGAAGTGCTATCTATAAAGATACAGTATTACACAGAAATTTATATTGGCACATTATATTAGCATCTTTTACGTGCAACAAGGGGCCCCCAAACAGTAACGATAGGCCACCTTTTGAGAAAAGGATTCAATACAAGCCTTTTCCCTTCCAATTAGGATTAAGTTCGAGGCATGAGGTCTGTACATATTGTTGCAAAGATGGCCTTTTAATTTAAGACTTTGCTCTCACAGTAGAAAGGACAGATACGGAGAGCTGCATCTCATACTTTGTATCATCAACTCCCCTACCCTGAGATCAAGCTGGACAGAAGTGTCTTCAGCTCAGAGAGAAAGGCTGACCTTTGATGAAGTGGTTGAACTTTAGTATAAGACAGTGTTCTGGTGGCTTAGCCTGACTTTACAGAAACGGCAGCCTGAAGTGCTGACAGAAGCGCACAGGGGACGAGTATAAGGGTTTGCAAAGCTCTGGGAGGAGTGCTCACTCCCAGGTCAGGTCTGATGTGCTGTAAAGGGCCCCAGCCTCTAGTCTTTTGCATAGAAACAGATAGGAGAGCCTGTTGGTGCCTGGTCAGGGGAGGGGCTACTGGGTCTGGTTGAGGTGGAGGAGGAAAGGAGGTCATAGCATAGCAGCTAGGCAAAGGGCAAAGGGGGGACAGCCTGCGGGCAGGCGGAGCAGCTTGGAGCGACAGACACCCACACCCCCGTCTGAGACACCCTATTTTTACACATCTCAAGATACTACCTGGAAGTACTACAGAATACTGTCAAACACAAAAGCATGATCAGTTAAAAACCAATAGACAATCAATAATGCTCTGTAGTATTGATCCTCGTTTTGCATTCAATACACAGGATGAACATACAGAGGCACCTCTGACCAAAGTGTTTCTGCATATGAACAGTGAAGGGCTAGTTCAGCAGCCAGTATTTTGTCGACCACTGCATGTAGACAAAAAAACAACAATATAACACACTGAAAAATCAAATCAAATCATCTTTTCAAAAAAAACCCAAAACAAAACAAAGAAAGCACACTGGCAAAAATTCCAGAAATATGACTATTACATCTTCCAGCTAAAGTGATCTTTGTGTCAAAGAACTGAGAGATGGGGGAGAGGGCAGACAGCAGGGTCCAGCGGTGGTAGCCCCCCCTTGGAGATGCCGTTTGTGGCGGAGGGCTGCAACTGGCCAGTCTTGGAGGAGCCACTTTTTCTTGCGAGATTGAGGGAGGGTCAAGCGGAGCCCAGGAGGAAGTGCTGCGCTGTGGGGCTATCGCTTGGCACCCAGAGGACCACAGCAGAGAGGCACTCAGTGGACACTCCCCCTCCCCACCCCACTGTGACTGACTGACAGCGGGTGTCAGAGACAGCTGACGTTGCAAGTCTAGTGCCTCCAAACTGAACAAGGCTAAACATTTTGAGTAACAGTGATATTCACTTTGATATTGTTCAAAGGAGAAGGGGAGAAAATATCATAGACTGCAGTCCCCCCCCCCCCCCCAAA